ATTAGACATTCATTTATTTCATTTGTTTTTTAATTAAAAAAAAAAAACAAAACATCTGCAGGTTTTTAATCAAAGACGATCAGGAGAAAGAAACTCTGATCTTTGATCAGAAATTGAGAAAATACTATAGAAACAATAACGCAGGCCAAGGAGAGCGTAAGAAAACAGAAGTCCGAGCAAAACAATCAACATGGACGGCAAATTAAATCCTCAATTTCCAACATACCTCTTGCTGCAAATCCTACAGCATCGGACCAATCACAAAATGTTCGCACCTTGCGAGACTGCACCAACACCACCCTCCTCTTAATAGAGCCACCTCCAGCATCACTAGACAAGAGTGGAAGCTAATAACTGAAATCAAACCAGCATTACTCAGTTGGCTTTCCAACTTCTAATTTCAATATGGGGACTCCCTAGTGGAAGAATCCAAATGCCTCAAGCATCACTAATTTCCTGGAAATCTGTGATACTTTTAAAGCATGGTGTTTCTGACGATGCCATTAGATTAAGACTCTTTCCTTTTAACTTCTAAGGGATAAAGCACGATCAAATGGTTACAAATCTTGCCCGCCAAGCTGGCAGTTTTAACAACTTGGGAAGAATAGCCCAGAAATTTTGCTAAATTCCTTTCTATCTTCTAATAAACCACCAAATTGAGAATTTGAGATCAATGAACTTTTATTCAATCATGATCAAAGAAAGCTTAATAGTGAAGCTGTGGGAAAGCATTTAAAGATACTGAGAAAATGTCCTCACCAATAGTTTGCCCAAAATGGTTAGCAAGCCAAACTTTTTATAATTCTTGTCACCCTACCTATTAAGATTACATCTTGATGCGCTGGCAGGAGGTCTTTCGCAAAGAAAAGAGATCGAGTGAAAGCAATGGACGATTAATAGAAGTAAATGCAAGCAATAGCCATTATCAAACGCAGTGTTCTGAAAGCAGAAAAGACTGCTGGATCGTATGTAAATTGAATGCCATCTACTGCACTAAATGCAAAAGGTTGACAGACATGTAGAAGTTAGATTACTAACCCACAATCTGTGAACTCCAATCATGCAAACCTGTGAGCAGATGCAACGAACCAATGGAGTTGGAGAATGCAATTGGATTCTTTCTTCAAAGCCACAAAACTTTTGGAGGCAAAGTGAACACTACGTGGATGAACCAACAGAGGAGGATTATCCATAATTCGAATCATTACCGGATAACAGGTTGAGAAATATCCGAATCTTTCATATGGTAATTCTAATAACAACTTTAAGCTGCACACCAGGATATTCTTGCGCTTCTTGAGAAAAAGTCTCATCGATGAAAAAATCTCCTTTACTGCCCTTTTAAAAATCGGCACATGGATTTCATGAATGAAACAAGGGAACACCACAAAATCCAACAAGCTGCGATAAGAAATCTGGTAGATTCAACATGGAAGTTTGCAACATGATGGCAGCTAGACCACCCCTGCTCCCGCTCTTGTCAAGGTTCCGTTACCTAGTAACTGACTGAAAAAAAGTTCCTCAAGGAGCAGGTACAAGCCATAACCTTGAGGAAGTGGTGTAAGAATTGGAGGAAAGCCCAGAAAGGAGAAGGAGAAAGAAAGAAGAGAGAAAGGCACCCATCATTGCCTGGTGGAAAAAGGGAAGAACGTGAAACCTTATGTTCCACCCGTATCCATTTCCACAAAGGTTGAATAAAGACGCAGGATGAACCAAAGCTTTCCATGAAAATTCTGGACCGTCTTCAAAAAACTTCAAATAAGCATGCCCTTTTGCTGACGCTCTTGCTCCAAATGCCCAGCTCAGTGCAAAGTTTCTGTAAAAGAATAGAATTGATCGACCAAGGAATGGTGAAACTGACTTATAGAAATGCAGTGCGATCATTCAAAATAAATTGGCCACCGAGCTTAAATGATCCAGGGAGTTTTTTATATTCCTGCAACATTGGAATTTAAAATTTCGAAAAAAAGGCCTTTAGCTGACCTAGGAGCTAGCATAAATCTGATGTCTTATGAAGTCTTTTAAAATGTAGGTATGGGAGAGCTCCAAGCCAACAGGATGTCTCTCCAATACCGACCGATCAATGCAAATACCCAAAGGGAATTGTAAGGACATACTAATCAAGGTAGGAAAATTCATTTTTTTCCAGTTGATTTTGTCATCCCTTGGACATTGAATGGAAGGTAGAGACAAGGATCAATGTGATCCCTTGGGAAGACTTTTCTTGCAACTGCAAGAGCTTCTAAATTGAATGTGCCATGATGGGAAACTAACATTGAGCAGTACGGTCAAGAAGAAGTTGTTTTTGATGTGTCTAAAATTGCTTGTTTTTGATGTGTTAAAATCTTGTAAACTTCCTATGGACTACGATGATTGCTTTAGAATAGATGTAATTGATAAATGTGTAGAGAACACTTTACATAGCGTAGATGATAATGAAAATAAAACAGAAGAAAAAGAAAAAGAAGGTAAACCTCCCAAACAAGAACTGAAGCAGCTTCCTCCTCATTTGAAGCATGCATTTCTAGGTGAAAACAACTCTTTTCCTGCCATTATTTCCTCTTACTTAACGCTTGATCAAGAGGAAGGGTTGTTGTAGGTTCTTCGAAAGCACAAGAAAGCAATAAGGTGGTCAATTTCTGATTTACAAGGAATAAGCCCGAGTGTATGCATGCACAAAATCCTGATGGAAGAAGACTACAAACCTTCAATCGAGCATCAAAGACGTTCAAAAGACGATTGAATCCCAAACATTGAAGGAAGGTAGTTGAAGGCTGAAATCATTAAAAACTTCTGGATTGCTGGCATTAATCTATCCAATTCTCTTGCATAGTAGTTGGGAAGTCCTGCTTCAAGTTGCTGCAAATAAAAGGGAGGTATGACTGTTACTCCAAATTGAAAAACAATGAATTAATTCCACTAGAACAGTCACGGTGTTGGCGTGTGTGTTATAGATTACAGAAAAATTGAACAAAAGCACAACACGCAAAGACCACTTTCGCCCTACCCTTTATTGATCAAAATGCTTGAAAGACTTGCAGGTTATCCTTTTCTATTATTTCTTAGGATGGATATTTCAGGGATACTTTCAAATACCGCATTGCTCTATTGCTCTTGAAGATCAAGAGAAAACTACTTTCACTTGCCCTTATGGCACTTTTGCCTATAGGAGAATGCCTTTTGGACTATGTAATGCTCCTGCAACCTTCCAAAGATGCATGACGTCCATATTTTCTGATATGGTTGAAAAATCTATTGAGATATTTATGGATGATTTTTCTGTATTTGGCTTTTCTTTCGATGCATGTCTTCATAATTTATCTTTAGTAATGCAATGATGTGAAGACACTAACCTTGTTTTAAATTAGGAAAAATGTCACTTTAAGGTTAGTGAAGGTATTGTCTTAGGGCATAAGATCTCCCAAGCAGGAATTGAAGTAGACAAAGCCAAAATCGAGGTAATTGAAAAACTTCCTCCTCCTACCTCCTAAACTCATGAAAGGAATGAGAAGTTTTCTATGGTCATGCAAGGCTTCTACAGTAAGCGGCTTTATCAAAGGACTTCTCGGAAAATCACCAAAAACCTCTTTGTAATATTGGTTAAAGATGTTCCCCTTTTTAAAATTTGACAAAGGAATAAGTTTAGATGCTTTTAACAGGTTAAAGAGGGAAGTTGATCTACAGCACCTATCATCCACTACACCAGATTGGACACCCTCTCCCATTTGAACTAATGTGGATGCTAGTGATCATCTGTCGGAGCCGGTCTTTGGGCCAAAGCGAAGGGCAAAAGAAGTTTGGGCAAAGAAAGGAAAAGAAGTTGCACGTCATCTATTATGCTAGTCGCACATTGAATGATGCGCAATTAAATTATGCCACTACTGAAAAAGAAAAGCTAGCTATTGTTTTTGCTTTTGAAAAATTTAGGGCTTATTTAATTGGAGCCAAAATAATAGTTTATACTGATCACTCAGCTATCAAATATTTGCTAAAAAAGAAAAATGCGAAACCGAGACTAATTTGTTGGGTGCTTTTATTGCAGGAATTTGATCTGAAAATTCGAGACAAAAAGGGAACCGAAAATCTTATGGCTGACCACCTTTCCAGGCTAGAATTGGGGGAAGAAGATACAACAGAGTTACAAATCAATGAAAACTTGCAGCAACTTTTGCTAATGTAAATACTCAAGCCCCCTGGTATGCTGATATAGTTAACTATCTTGTTTTGAAACAAAATCCACTCCTCCTAACTTTTTCCTATCAACAAAAGAAAAAATTCTTCCATGATTATCATAATACTACTAAATTCTTCCATGATATCAAATACTACTATTGGGAGGAGCCCTTTTTGTTCAAATATTGTAGTGATCAGCTATTCCGGCGGTGTATACCGGAAAGTGTCCTTAAATTCTGCCATTCAATGGAATGTGGAGGACATTTTGGAGCCAACAAGACAGCAGCGCGTGTATTGGAAAGCGGTTTATATTGGCCTAACCTATTTAAAGAAGCTTTTAACTATGTTCGTCATTGTGATCATTGTCAGAGGTTGGGTAACATTTCGAAGAGACATGAGATGCCCTTGAATAGCATACTTGAAGTTGAAAATGGGCAGAAGCTGTTGCCCTTCCCAATAATGATGCCAAAAGTGTGATGAGCTTCATCAAGAAATATATCTTCACACGACATGGAACTCCGAGAGCAATAATCACAGACACAGACAGAGGAAAGCAACTTCTGTAACAAGTACCTTGACTCCCACTGTCCAGATATGGTGTTTACCTCACCCGTGAGGTTACCCCATATCACCTCAACGAGTGGTGGGCAAGATAGAAGTCACGAACCGGGAACTTAAAAAGATTTTGGAGACAACAGTTGGCCAATCAAGGAAGCGACTTGTCCCAATTTAAGCTCGATGCATGACATACTTTGGCCTACAGAACTTGCATTCAAAACACCACATTGCGCGCATTCAAAACACCAATTGGCATGTCACCATATCGAATGGTATACGGTAAGGCTTGTCACCTCCCCGTCGAGCTTGAGCATAAGGCATATTGGGCAATACAATTCCTCAACTTTGATACCAAGGAAGCTGGTCAAAAGCGACTGCTTCAATTGAACATGATGGATGAAATGAGGCTCCATGCCTATGAAAATGCCAAAATATATAAAGAACTCACAAAAAAGTGGCATGATAAGCGTATCATTCTACGGAATCTAAGGGTAGGCCAACAGGTTTTACTCTATAACTCTAGACTCCGCCTCTTTCTAGGAAAATTACGCTCAAGGTGGTCCGGCCCATTCACGATTAAAGAAATTTTTCCGCATGGAGAAATTGAGATTAGGGACGGTGACCGAAGTTTCAAGGTTAATGCTCACCGTCTAAAAGTTTACCAAGGTGGAAATTTTGATCCCGTTAAAACCGCCATCAGTCTTGATTAAGCTTGAATCAGGTTCGGTACGTCGAACTTAACGACGTTAAACAAAAGTGCTTAGGGGAGACAACCCATTTTCATTTTGATTAATTGTGAACTTAACGACGTTAAACAAAAGTGCTTAGGGGAGACAACCCATTTTCATTTTGATTAATTGTTTTGTTTTATGTGTTTGTTGTTTGTTTTATTTTTAGGGATAACAAAGAGTTAAAAAGGCAACATGCCCTGGGTGTATAAATTAAGCACGACCGTGCTCAAAAAAAAAAAAAATTTCAGAGGGTTGCACGCTTGCCACCGTGCTACGTAGCACGACCGTGTCACATCGCATGCTCAAGTCATGCCAAGGTACACGCCCGTGCCAGATGAGTCAGATTTTGCCCTGCAGGAGAAACAGGCGCACGCCCTGAACCGTGCCATCCAGCACGCCCGTGCTCGCTTGCGCAGAGACTTCCAAAGAGGTGCACGCCCTGAACCGTGCCATCCAGCACGCCCGTGCCCACTTGCACAGAGACTTCTAGAGAGGTGCACGCCCTGAACCGTGCTATCCAGCATGCCCGTGCCTGCTTGTGCAGAGACTTCCAGAGAGGTGCATGCCCTGAACCGTGCCGTGCCGCACGCCCGTGCCCGCTTGCGTAGAAACTTCTAGAGAACAGCACGGTCCAGACCGTGCTGAACTGCACAGCCGTGCGCGCTTCCTTATTTAAATAACACGCCCTAGCGCTGTTTCATTCAAAACAACACGCCCTAGCCGGCAGCAGCCTTCCTCTCTCATTTTCTCTCAATTTCTCTCGTTTTCTCTCATTTTCTTGCAATTCTCTTTGATTTTCTTCCATATTTTTCATCATCATGCCTCCCAGGTACAAACGCAGCAGGCCCTCGTCATCTGTGGCATCTAGACGCGGCTTTTCCACTCGATCTTCCACGGTCTCTCCACCATCTGACAGTCCACCACTCCCTCCATTTGATATGGTTTCGGACGACCAGTTGGAGAGGTACAATAAACTTCTATCATGCCCCATTTTACCAAATAAGTTTATTGATTTTGATGCTTTATCAATTGTTAGGCTTAAAGATGCTGTGGTTGAACCTTTGAAGCGTGTGGGGTGGGGAACTTTTATAGAAATGAGAGACCCTGTGTATCCTCCTTTGACATTAGAATTTTTAAGTTCACTTTCTGCATCGATTAAATTTCCAGCTAAAATTTTTCAGAATAAAATTAAATTTAGGCTTCTTGGAATAAATTATGAACTATCCATCGATGAAGTTAGTCACATTTTTGGTTTTCCTACCGAAAATGCGGTTAACCAACTCCCTGCAGATAATATGGATTGTCGTATGTGGGATCAGTTGGCAGACAGTAGCACTTATAATGCTAGAGCATTTGAAGCATCAAAATTAAAAAGTCCCGCTTTACGATATATCCATAAATTTTTAGTTCATATAATTTTCGGAAGAAATGAAAGTGAGGGAGTTGTGGGCCGAAGTGAACTGTATTTTCTATGGGCTATTAATAATGGAGTGTTGCTTAATGTTGGATACTGGTTGTGCCAAAAATGGGCCCGAGTCGCAAGGGCCGATAAGGGAGCCATTATGATAGGTTTCTTTGTTACACGCATTGCTACTTATCTAAGGGTATGGAACCCGGCTCGACCCATTTATGACAACCTAGGAGGCGGTAGAGGGACTAAATTAGATATTGATCTTATGATTCACATGAGGATTGTGGAGAAATTTGGAGATTCCTACCGAGTAATAGGTGCCCCAGCAGAAACTACAGATGATGACGCGCCTGCAGCAGCTGACATTGAGGAGGATTAGCCACCTCCTTTCCCTGGTTTTAATTTTGGAGTAGGTACATCCAGAGCTGGACCTTCATTCCAAGGCACCTCCACTGTGTCCAATGATGATATGCTTGCCCGAATGCTCTCTCGCATGGACGTGTTCGACACTCGACTTACTGGCATGGAGTCCATGATCACTGATCATTTCCAGTCGCTTGAGATCACGCAGGGCAGCATCGATTCTCGCCTCGACACTCTGCAGGGTCAGCTTCAGACTATTCTTCACTTGCTTCAGCCCCCTCCACCTCCTCCACCAGAGGCCTGATATTTTTTCATATTATTTTGATTATTCTCTCTCATATTTCTGTTTGTTGAATATTTCACATTGGTTTTGTTTGATTACTAACGATTTCGGTTAGTTGCAGATGAATATTTGGGTTTTTAATAGTTTTTCAATTTCAATATTTTGGTTATTTTTTTCATATGTTTCTTCCATCATAGCTTGGATGCACGTCGCATTGTCTCACATCACCAATGGTACTTTTCTCCACTCCTTAGTCTTTCTTAAATATTTCATAAGTTTGGGGAATTGCATCTAGCTCATTGAGGACAATGTGCTCAATTAAGTTTCAATGGTACTTTTCTCCACTCCTTAGTCTTTCTTAAATATTTCATAAGTTTGGGGAATTGCATCTAGCTCATTGAGGACAATGTGCTCAATTAAGTTGGGGGAAGAAATTTTATCTAAACTACAAAATCAATTCTAATAAAGTGTTGTTTTGCTTTAATAAAATAAGTATGGAATAATTATGATCGAAATTTAAAATTTATCTTAAATTCATTTACCTTTGAATAAATTAATGATGTTTCCAAAGTTAATTTCCAAAGTTAATTGTTTTTAACCAAAATTATATTTTTAACATACTTCTTTGATTTAACCATTTGTTTAGAAAATTTTGAATCCTGACTTGAATAAAAAGACAAGGACACTAAAGCCATATTACATGTATGTTTTAAATCAATAAAGGGTGAAGGTATTATGAAAAAAGATTGAAGGAAATCCATTCTAAACAAAGTAGTATGGAGCATAAAATGCAACTACTTATCGCTTATATTCCTATATAAAATTATAAATATATAAGTGGTATGGAGCATAAAATGCAACCACAAAAGAGGCAAAGATGAGAAGTGGTATGGAGCATAAAATAGCATAAAATGCAACCAATTTATGTGATAGAAGTAGGCCACCTAAAAATACCTTGAGATGAGAAATATTACATGTAGGCTAAAATTGTCCTAAGTACTTACTATTCTAAAGAAGAAGGCAAAAGTGTTCTTTACTCATGTTTAATAAAAAGAATATGTTCTACTAATTTTGGCTAGAAATAACTAACATAGGAAATATATAATTTATTCTTAGGTTAATAATTTGGATATTTATTAAATTCGTGAATAATTATTCGATACTATTTCAAGGGAATTTTATTGCTTGAGGACAAGCAATAGTTTAAGTTTGGGGAAATTTGATAGTGTTAATTTTTATAATATTTTTATTGTAATTTTTACTAAGATTTTCTAGCAATTTTTATTTATCTAAATAGTTTATTATTAAGTTTTTATATTTTAGTTTTTTTTTTAAAAGCTTCCTTGAAACCACAAACCTCACTTGATTTTTGAGGAAGTGTACGATTTTGCAAGAAAAATGAAAAATAAGGCAAAATATGAATTGGCTACGCCCAAGACCGTGCTACGGCCACGGCCGTTTGCAAACACAAGGCAAATCAATTTTAGCAAGAGCAGAAGGCGGCACGCTCCAGCCCATGCTAAGGCGCACGCCCGTGCCTCAAATGCCTCGGACTTCCAGAGAGATGCACGCCCCCAGCCGTGCCAAAGAACACGCCCATGCGCGCACTGGAGACAGAAGCTTGGCCCGTGCAGCTGAAGCACGCCCGTGCTACACAACCTCCAGACTTCCAGAAGAGTGCACGCTCGCAGCCGTGCCAGTACGCACACCCCTGCCCTGGAACTCCCCTTGACCGTGCGGAACCGCACGGCCCGTGCTAAGAGCCTCAAACCTCCGGAGCCTGGCACGCCCTAGACCGTGCCAGGCAGCACGCCCGTGCCAATCAAGAAAACTAAAAAGAAAACTAAAATTTAGTCAAAAGTTGCCAACCAACTTCCACCAAATCATGAAGCATATTTTGGACAACTTTCCTCACATGCAAACCAAGATCAACTCTATACACATGGGTGAGTCATGATTAAAGAAAATGGAGACTTAACAGAGAGCTTTACAACCTAACAAAAGAAGACTTTGATCATTAAAACCATATGGAACCTTATACCAAAGAAGTCTATATAAAGAAGAGGAGAAAGAGGAGAGTTCATCTCAAATCATCCCATTCCACACATTACATTCCACTCTACATCTATTCTTCCTCTCTTAGCTTGTATATAGTTTCTATTTTAGAAGTTAGGCATTCAAGAGTTGTCAAGTGTTTCAAGGAAGCCATCCAAGCAACCTATCACTAGTTCTTATCTCTAAAATCTTAATCTTGTTTATTTCTTTCATTATCTTTATTGATTATTGAATATTTATCAAGTATTGTTGAGTTTTATTTAAGTACTATGTGTAACTAAATTCTCATACTAGGAGCTTAATCTCTTTTCCAATTTATGCAATTAGATTTATTTTTCCTTATTCAAGTTATGATTTATTAATGAACTTAATGCTTCTAGGCAGAATTTTCCTCTAGATTGATTTATTTCAATGATCACTATCGGAAGAAGGATCTTTGATATGAAAAGAGTTAATAAAACATTTGAGAATAATAACTTGATGCGGAAGCTATATGGTTTGACTCATGGGGGTTTTTACGATTTATCAATCTTAAATTGTAAATTCATCAACAACTACATAGCTTAATGATTTAATTCATATTTGGTTACGCTATTGGAAGATAGGTAATTAAAATGGAATTAAAATAGCTAGCAATACATCGAGCAAATACGATCGGAAGAGCTTGTTAGTGAATTTAGAGTTGTTTCCCCTACTGAATATATTAATATTGGATTAATGACCTAAAACTAATGAGATAAATTGGAAAGAATTAAGTGAAATCAAAACCCCTAGTAGTCTCAACCCCTTGATTCCTTTTAATCAACTTTTGTTTACTTGATCTTTGTTTACTTTATTTTTACACAACAAATCTCTTAATTATCGTTT